GGGGTGGGTTTTTTTTTGAGGGGGGGTGTCATAGCATCACCAGGCAGCTGGTGCAGGGCTATGGCTCCAGGCTGTGGGCACCCAGGTTCTCATCAGAGATGCCCCCCAACCCCCAAGAAGGACGAGGCCCAGCGGGACATAGCAGGAGAGACTGCCCTTGGACTCTTACGTTATGTGCTCGTGACCTCTGTGCTGCCAATTTGAACAAGGGGGTGATGGAATTTTCTCTGTCTGTGCCCAGGGGGCCGGCTACCAGCTGGCTCTTCCCTTCAGAGAAGGAAGGATTAGCCCGGAACGCCGCGACCTTATTTCAAAGTCTTTGCTTTCTGGACCAGAGTGTTAGCACAGCGGGGAGGGCATTGGCCTGGCAGGCGGCCGACCCGGGTTTGATTCCCAGCATCCCATAGGGTCCCCTGAGCACCGCCAGGGGTGATTCCTGAGTGCAGAGCCAGGAGTCAGCCCTGAGCATCGCCAGGTGGGCCCCCCAAAGCAAAATAATAATAATAATAATAATAATAATAATAATAATAATAATAATAATAAAACAGTATCTGGTCCATCACCCAGTTCGGCACCATGATCAACCTCTGATCCATCCATAGGGGCTGGAGCGATAGCACAGCGGGGAGGGCATTTTCCTTGCACACAGCTGACAGGGGTTCGATTCCCAGCATCCCACAGGGTTCCCTGAGCACCCCTAGGAGTGATCCCTGAGTATAGAGCCAGGAGGAACTCCTGAGCATCGCCGGGTGGGATCCAAAAAGCCACACACACACACACACACACACACACACACATACCACAACTTCTCAGGTTCTTCATTCTCTCCCTCTACCCTCCGTCCACCTCAACGTCCCTCCCCCTGAGCTCAGCAAGGAAATGGGGCAGGACAGGAGAGGTTACGCTTTTCCCTGGAGATGCCAACGCAGCAGATTAAATCGATAAACAGGGACCATAGCCATAGCACAGCGGGGAGGGCGTCGGCCTGGCACACGGCTGACCCGGGTTCGATCCCCGGCATCCCAAAGGGTCCCCCGAGCACTGCCAGGAGTGATCCCTGAGAGCAGAGCCAGGAGTCAGCCCTGGGCATCGCCGGGTGGGACCAAAAAAGCAAAATAATAATAATAATAATAATATCTGGTCCATCACCCAGTTCAGCACCTTGATCAACATCTGATCCATCCATAGGGGCTGGAGCAATAGCACAGCGGGTAAGGCATTTGCCTTGCATGGAGCTGACCCGGGTTCGATCCCCGGCATCCCCTAGGGTCCCCCGAGCCCCGCCAGGAGTGATCCCTGAGTGCAGAGCCAGGAGTCAGCCCTGAGCATCGCCGGGTGGGACCCCCAAATCAGAACCACACAGGTGTTGATTTCCGTGGGTGTTTTCTGCTGCCTCTCAGCCAAATGGGACGGAGCGGGGGTGGTGTGTGTAGGGGGGTTGTCTGGTATCTCAAGGGCCAGGGGAGGTTCGGAGGTTCCCCGGAAGGGAAAGAGAAAAGGGGTTGCGTTCTCGGCAGTGACTTCAGGAGGCGGGGGTTGGGGGTGGGAGCAGGCTACCCAAAGGCGGGGCCGTCACACAGAAAGACTCTGTGATTCCGCGGTGGGGGCCGGGGGTGGGCCCTTCAAGGTGTATTTCTAGCACGTTCCCAGGTGAGGTTTGCCATAGCTGGTGGTCTAGCCCAGGGCACGAGCTAGCAGACAGACAGACAGACAGACAGACAGACAGACAGAGCCCTCTTTCTGAGCCAGACCGGGGCTGAGTGAAAGACCGACCGACCGACCTGGGTAAGGTGACTGGGAAAAGACGCACGCGTGCACACACACACACACACACACACACACGCACACGCACACGCACACACGCACACACACACACATCATAATTTCTACACACAAAGCCGGGCTGGGAGGGTTGAAGGAACTGAGCTAAGGGGGAGAAAAAAAATTAAAAAGTCTCACGCAGAATAAAATGCAAGTTTTAAAGACACGGGGTGAAGGGTTCGGTGGGGGGAGGCCGTTGCTAGGTGATGATGAAGAAAAAAGAAATCAAGCAGCTGATTTTTTTTTCCGGCGGCAGAAAAATCAGCTGCGAGGCAGGAACCCCGAGTTGGGAGAAGGGGTGCTCGCCGAGGGGAAACGTCTCATTAGGCGCTCAGAGCCGGCCTGGGTTGATGCTGTGTGAGCTGGAGTTGGTGGCGGTGATGATGGGGTGAGAGGGGGGGTGTTGCAGGGAGCAGGGGTTGGTCCCTACCTCTCTGCTCTTTCTTCCTTCAAAAGTCGGGGAGACGGCGCTCTCACTGCGTTCATGACATCACATCGCGCCCAGTAAGATGCAAACCTCCCCCCCACCCCCCATCCCTCCTGCATGGTTCTGGTTTATCAGGGGGTTTGATTTGGCTCCGGGAGTCAGCGAGCGGCTGTCTGGGGCTGACATCTTTCTGCTCAAAGGAACAGCAGCAGACAGGCTTCTGCCGTGACTTAGAGGGACCCCCGCACCCTCCACATCCCCCCACATCACAAGATTCTAGACCCGCCGGTGCACGCTTGCTGGGGGGGGTACTGGAAAGGGTTAATACCGGGACGCCCCAGCTGGCTGCCTTGAGGCAGGTTCCAGAAGGGTGGTGGGGACCCAATCGCTGGATTGGGTCGCTTCCCAGAGGGGGCTGGCTTCTAGGGGGAGCGGAGGGGCATTGTGCATGCAGACGTGTGTGTGCGTGTGTGTGCATGTGTGTGTGTGTGTATGTGTGTGTGTGCACGCGCTCATGCATACCTGCCTTTCCCAGGCCGGGCTCTGCTTGCTGACAAGAGGCACCCCTCAGTCTGTTCCAGGGGGGCTCCATCCCCCCCACCCCCCTCCTCCAGCATCCAGCCGTGCTCTGATCGACCCAGCACAGGGCAGACCCGGTGGACCATGAACATCTCTCCTGCACAGTAAGCTTTGCTGGCTGGGGCCGTTGCTGGGGTCGGGGGCTGCCCTCCCTCTGGGGGGGGTTGCCTTAGGGTGGGTTACGGGGTGCTAATTGCACGATCCATATTTAATTACTCAGCCTCCCTGCATGCCTCTGAGCCTTCTTTCTTCTCTAGAAATCTTGACTATTTCCTCCTTTTTTTTTTTTTAACCATCATTTCTTCCTTTCCTCCTAACTCCTTTGATTATTCCGTTATCCGGTTCGGTCTGCCCCGGGGACCAGTGACCAGTCCTGGAGGATGCAATGAATCCATCCCCTGGGCTCGGGGTAACCCCAAACTCTGTGCCTTAGAAGTTGGGAAGTTGGGTGGGGGGTTGTCACAGGGCACAAACTCCCACTTAGGAATGAGGAGTCTTGGGCATGAAAGTCCGGCCGGCTGGTGTCTGTAGCCGCGGGTACTGCACCTGTGTGATGGTTCTGAGGGGACCCGGGGACGTTGGGTCTGGGGAAGATGCATCCCCTGGGCTGCAGGGGACCGGGGGTGGTCAGCCACCGGGAAGGGAAGGGAAGGGAAGAGAAGGGAAGGGAAGGGAAGGGAAGGGAAGGGAAGGGAAGGGAAGGGAAGGGAAGGGAAGGGAAGGGAAGGGAAGGGGTTGGCTCCATCACCCTGACGCCCCCATCCCACAAGGCAGAGAGAGAAGTTGGTCTGGGGACACCTCAGAGAATGCCTCAATGGCCCCTGGATTCATCCTCAGCACCCATCCCGGGAATGCTGTTTTTGTTGTTGTTGTTGTTGTGGTTTTCACAGTGTGTTACCTGGTGGCTGGTTCTGAAGGTCCTGGGAGAAGTTGGTGGAAAAGTAGGCAGCAGGCTCACAGTTCTCTGTGTGGAGTTGTGTTTGTGTGTCAGTCTGTCTGTCTGTAGGTGTGTATGTTTGTGTTTGTATGTTTGTGTATCCGGTGTGCTTGCGGGAAAGTGTGTCTGTGTGCGGATGTGTTTGTGTGGATGTGTGGTTTTTGTGTGTGGCGGTGTGGAGAAGTGTGTTTGTGTGTGTGTTTGTGTGGACGTGTGCGTTTGTGGGGCCATGGCATCTAGGGAACATCCTAGGGACCCCCGCACAGTGCTCCCTAGATAGTGCTCCCAAGACTGTCTCCGTAGTGGTTATTCCTGAAGTGGGTTGTGTGTGTGTTAGTGTGTTTGGATGTGTGCATGTGTATGATGTGCGCGTTTGTGGGGCCATGGCATCTAGGGAACATCCTAGGAACCCTGCACGGTGCTCCCTAGATAGTGCTCCCAAGACAGCGTCCCCCCTTGTGGTACTCCTGAAGTGGGTTGTGTGTGTAGAAGTGTGTTTAGATGTGTGTGTGTGTGTGTGTGTGTGTGTTCGGGCCCTCTGTCAAAGTGTGGTTCCTACTAAGATGCTTTTCTCCTGTTCCATATCAGCCTCCCTGGGACCCCTTGAAGACCAGTGGGTTCCCTCCCTCACCTTCCTCTCTCCAGTGTTTCTGAGGGTTTGGGGGGCCCTGGGGGAGTTCCCAACCTCCCTCTCCCCTTCCCCAGCTTCTCCCCACTCTGGGTCAGGCCCCCGGAGGGAGCGGGAAGGTCTGGGGGGCTTTGCTGAGATGGTTGATCCTGGCTGACCCGGGGTGGGGGTCCATCCTTCCTCCCGCTCACACCCACGGTCTGTCTGCCCCCGAAGACCCCCACCCAGGGACAGAGGGACAGGGCTGGCTCTCCCAGCTCACTCGGAGAACAGCATTTGGTGGTCAAGGGGCTGCCTGGTTCTCACGGACAGGCATGTCCCCTTTTTCTTGCTAATGGCCCTTATTTGGGGCAGAGGACACACAAACTTCCCCTTGCTGGTCATCTGCATTCGGGGACAGAGAAACTCGGGGCCCTGGGGGAGCCCCTCGAAGGCGTGGTCCTGCCCCTAGGCGGAGGATGAAGGATGGCCCTCCTGCCGGGCGGAGCTGGGAGCAGAGGCGGAGTGGGTGGTGCCTCTTCCAGAAGGTTCTTTGATTCTAGGTGAGCAGCGGGACGCGCCCAGCCCCGTCACCAGCCCCAACTCGTCCTGTGCTTGCCTCTCCCCTTCGCCTGCCTGAGTCTGGAGCACCGGCCCCAGCGCAGCGGTCAGCAGGGCCCTGCATGGCCGCCCTACTGATGCCCCGCAGGTAACTGCAGCCCCGTTGCCTCCGTTCCCCAGGCCCGTCCTCTCCCCCCGCAGTCTGAGCCCACGGAACCGGCCACCTCCCGGCCTCTGCTGGACTCCACTGCCCAGTCCTTTCTCTTGCTGGGATCATGGGGCACAAGCGTCTGTGCTCTAAGGGATCTTTAAGCTGCAGAACAGGGGAGGAAGATGAGGGTTTTTTGTTAAATTTTTATTTGTTTGGCTTTTTTTTTGGGGGGGGTCATGCCTGGCGATGCTCCAGGCTGATTCCCAGCTCTACGCTCAGGGATTACTCCTGTCAGTGCTCAGGGGACCCTATGGGATGCTGAGGATTGAACCTGGGTGGCCGTGTGCAAGGCAAATGCCCTTCCCGCTGTGCTATCGCTCCGGCCCCCTCCTCATCCCACTTTTAGGTAGGGCAGGAGCCACTTTTGTGCTGCAGTATCCAGGGGCCATAGCTAAAGGAGCTAACGTGGCCTCTGAATGCTCCTTTGTTGCAGGAACAAAGGCATGAGAACGCGACTAGGCTGCCTGTCCCATAAATCGGACTCCTGTAGTGACTTTACGGCCATCCTGCCCGACAAGCCCAACCGGGCTCTCAAGTGAGTATGGGCACACAAGGCATTCTCCAGGGGTGGAGGGGTGACCACCACAGGGAACCCCCAGCTGTGGGGCTGTTGCGTCCATCGCCTAGTGAGTGGTTAATGAGATGTCCACACTAGTGAGTTGGCTGACCAGATGTCTTTGCTAGTGAATGGTTGACCAGATGTCCATAGTAATGAATGGTTGACTAGATGTTCACAGTAGTGAGTAGTTGACCAGATGTCCATGCTAGTTAATGGTTGACCAGATGTCCATAGTAATGAATGGTTGACCAGATGGCTACAGTAGTGAGTGGTTGACCAGATGTCCGTGCTAGTGAATGGTTGACCAGATGGCCATAGTAGTGAGTGGTTGACCAGATGTCCATGCTAATGAATGGTTGACCAGATGTCCATAATAATGAGTGGTTGACCAGATGTCTACAGTAGTGTGTGGTTGACCAGATGTCTGTGTTAATGAATGGTTGACCAGATGTCCACAGTAATGAGTGGTTGACCAGTGTCCGTGCTAGTGAATGGTTGACCAGTTGTCCAGGCTGCCTCCTGACAGCTCCCTTGTCTGTCCCTGAGGTGAAGGAAGAAGCGTTTCTCTTCCTCATCAGAATGCACACGTGGGGGATCCTCCTTTGGTTCCTAGCAGAGCGTGTTGCCCGGCTCAGTGGAGGACACTTCTTGGCTCTGCTGGCCACTTATTGGAACCCGCTGGGGCTCACAAGCTCAAAGCAACTCTTTGCTCTGCTCAGGAGTCAAGGAGCAGAGTTTGACACCCACATGCAGGCCTGGGCGATGTCGCAGATAGGACCCCCACTGACCCCTCTCTGAGCTCCGCACCCTTTGGCCTGATCCCAAAGGTCAAGAAATCAAGGGGGGCAGCAGAAGACGGAGTCAGGAGCTCAGGCCAACTTTGCTGATTCCAAGACAGCAAGGATCTTACATAGCATCCTTACTTCACTTTCTTGCTTGGTATTCCTGGTATTGCTCAGGGCTTACATCTGGCTCTGTGCTGTGGGGTCACTCCTGGCGGGGCTCAAGTGACCCTATGTGGTACCCCAAGTGGGTAGAAGGAAAGCACCTGACCCCTGTCCTAGTTCTCCAGCCCCGACTTCCGCTTCTTTATTAGAAAGCCAGTCTCACGATTACCCCTCCATGACTTATGCAAGAACCTGTTTGCTGAGACAGACTTGAAAGAATCGAGGGACCATATTCCTCTGCTTCCCTCAGTCCTTTTATCTTGCTGGTTCTCCTGAGAGGTCTGAGGGGGAGCAGAGGGATGGGAGGACATTTCTGAAAGTTTCAAGAGCTTTTTCTTCTCTCCCAGAAGGTTATCCACAGAGGAAGCCACCAGATGGGCAGATTCGTTCGACGTCCTCCTTGCCCATAAATGTAAGTAGCCCCTTCATTCTTGATCAATCTTCTGTGGAGCGGATGCACTGCAGCCTGCAGGGTTCTGCGTTTGGGTTCCAGACAGTTCCAGAAAGTTCCAGACAGTTCCAGAAAGTTCCAGACTGTTCCAGACAATTCTAGACAGTTCTAGAAAATAGAATTTAAATGCAGCGGGAGTTCTGTTTTCTGGGTGGCGAGTAGGGTCTCAGAACGCCTTTGTGCTCGAAGCAGCTCTGGAGAGAGACTTTTTAGCTCCAGGAGCTGGAGAGATTGTTGCATGCAAGGTAAGCATCTTCCCTGCTATACTATCACCTCAACCCCAAAGAAAGGGGTCTTTATTCGGACCCCCAGCATAATTTCAAGTGTGGAGGAGGACTTGAACTCTTGCTCTCTCTGCTGGCTGTGGAGTGTCCTTAGAGTGTGGACAATGCCAGCTCTGACAACGTCAGTATCCCATTTATCGTGGCCTTATCGGTTGCCTCATTGATCTGGGCACCAGGGGGGCTGATGTTAGGTCATTGTTTTCATGGAATCAGGGAACCCAATTTTGACAACTAATGAAGGCCGATGGCAGCGGGTCAGATCCAGTTCTTGATTTTTTGGTTTTGTTTTGTTTTGTTTTGGGGGCCATGCCCGGTGGTCTCAGGAGCTGCTCTCTGTTCTGTGCTTCAAGGGTAGCGGCCGACTGTGATCAGTGGAGTATGTGGTATCAGGATCAAACTTGAGCCTCCCAATACAAAGTATGTGCTCAGACCACTGGGGTCTCTCCTTCCCACCCTCCCTTACCCCTCCCTCCCCCTCTCACTCTTCCTCCCTCTCCCTTTCCCTCTCAGTTCCTCTCTTCTTCTCTCTCTTCCTCTGTCTCTGTCTCTGTCTCTCTCTCTCTCTCTCTCTCCAGCTCTTTGTTCTTGACTTTTTGTTTGTTTGGAGACCACATCTGATGGTTCTCAGAGCTTATTCCTGGCTCTGCACTCAGGAATCACGCCTGGCGGAGCTCGGGGGACCCTATGGGATGCTGGGGATCGAACCCGGGTCGGACACATGCAAGGTCAATGCCCTCCCTGCTGTGCTATTGCTCCAGCCTGCAGGTGTGTTTCTGAGGTTACGTTCTGACTTGCTTTCTGACTGGAACTTGTAATTTTTTTGTGAGAGGTGGTTTGGGGTCACACCCGGTGATGCTCAGGACTGACTCCTAACTCTGCACTCAGGAATCACTCCTGATGGTGCTCAGGGCATCCCATGGGATGCCGGGGATCAAACCAGGGTCCGCCATGTGCAAGGCCAGAGCCCTCCCCGCTGTGCTATCTCTCCGGCCCCTTGACTTGATTCCTGTTTCTCTCAGTTCTGTCAAAGTCACTCTCAAGTTCCACCTTCTTTCCTGGCTGGCTCGGATTCAAGGTCATTCAGGAGTAGGGTTTCTATTTCTGCCCGAGGACTGACACAGTTTATGTCCCCAAGGCTGTTTGCTCTGTCTAAACTGGGCACCGACAGCCTCCTCAGAGGACGCCCTGATAATTGGGGGTTCCCCACTTGAAGGTGCTCTGACAGGAGATGTTGGTGGTGTTGAGGGAAGAGGCTTTGAGTCTGTCAGAAGCAGCCTGCAGATCCCAGGAGAGTAAGGGTGCGAATTTCATGAATTCTGAGAATTTCATGGCCAATGATGAACTTAAAACCCAACAGGGACACACTTCTTGGTGGTGGAGTCTATGAATAGCATCTTGGGGTCCATTTCAGTGACAATGGCCCTCCAAAAGGTCTAATTTAATTTGTCTGTTTTGCTGACTCTGTGGGGTTTGTTTTGTTTATGTATTTGGGTCACACCCAGCAGTGCTCAGGCTGACTCCTGGTTCTGCACTCAGGAATTACTCCTGGTGGTGCTTGGGGGACCCTATGGGATTCCGGGGATCGAACCCGGGTCGACTGCGTGCAAGGCAAACACCATCCCCGCTGGCCTATTGCTCTGACTGACTTTTGGAGACAGCAACATTGAGATTTTTATGTCTCACGGTTGCTTTTGGATTGTAGGGAAGCTGGAATAACGCTTTTTTTTTCTGGGTCACACCCAGCGATGCTCAGGGGTTCCTCCTGGCTCTGCACTCAGGGATCACTCCTGGCGGTGCTCGGGGAACCCTATGGGATGCTGGAGATCGAACCAGCGTCAGTCACATGCAAGGCAAACACCCTCCCCGCTGTTCTCTCTCTCTCTCTCTCTCTCTCTCTCTCTCTCTCTCTCTCTCTCTCTCTCTTATCCTAGCAAATAAATATTTTATTTCTGCAATTTTGGTCACACTCAGCGATGCTCAGGGCTAACTCCTGACTCTGCACTCAGGAATCACTCCTGGCGGTGCTCGGGGGACCCTGTGGGATGCCGGGGATCGAACCCGGGTCAGCCAAATGCAAGGCAAATGCCCTCCCTGCTGTACTATCGCTCTGGTCCACACTTTTCTTTTTTTTACTGAGGAGGGGGGATTCTACCATCAGGTTCCCAGCCTACACTGGCATGTTTGCTTGTAAAATCAAGGAAAAACGCTTTGGAACGTGTAAGTTCTGTGGTCCTTCTTATAGCTGAGGAGCTGTCTGTATTTCTCAGCCAAATAAGAAGTCAAGGGCATGATTATCCTAGAGAAAGGTTTTGGTTTTAGTTTTGGGGCCACACCTGGCGATGCTTAGGGATCATTCCAGATGATTCCAGATCGTTCCAGATGATTCCAGAACATTCCAAATGATTCCAGACAGGGCTCGGGACAGCCTCCAGGGTGCTGGGGGGGGGGGGGGGTCAAATTTGAGTCAACTGCATGCCTGGCAAGCAAGAACTTGACCTGCTGAATTATCACTTTAACCCCCCAAAGAAAGGGGGTCCTTATTCAGACTCCCCCCTGCAGAATTTCAAGTTTGGAGGATTTTTTTCATATCTTCTTTTTTTTTCTTAAATTTTTATTAGTGAAACACCATGAGGTACAGTTGTAGACTTGCAAATTTTTGTGCTTGGGTTTCAATTATACAATGATCAAATACCCACCCCTCCACCAGTGCCCATTTCCCACCACCACGGATCCCAGTATCCCTCCCACCCCCACTCCCCCCCATCCCTCCCTGCCTCTGTGGCAGGACATTCCCTTTTGTTCTCTCTCTCCTTTTGGGTGCTGTGGTTTGCAAAAGAGGCAATGGGTGACCATTGTGTTCGGTCTATAGTCTACTTTCAGCATGCCTCTCCCATCCTGGGAGGATCCTCCCAGCACCCTTTATTTGGTGCTCCCTTCTCTATCTGAGCTAAGTTTGGAGGATTTGAGCTCTTACTCTGTGCTGGCCAAGAAGTCTCCTTCAAGGGTGCTGACAACTTAGTCAAATCTCATTCATTTGGGTTAGGACTGCAACCCAATTAGCACTGAGAAAGTTTTCCCAGAGAGAGTGTGCCCCACCGACCCCTTTGGAAAAGGGGGATCAAGGGTTGCTCAGAGGAGATCAATGGCTCCATTAGCACAACAAAGTAGCCCCCCAAATAATGAGGAGAATCAGGGCATAATTGCCTGCCCCCCCACCCCCAAGAGGAACCGTATTATCTAGAAGTCACTCTTGGGTTTTTTTATTGGGTTTTGTGGGTTTTTTTTGTTTTTTTTGCTTTTTGGGTTACACCAGGCAATGCACAGGGGTTCCTCCTGGCTCTGCGCTCAGGGATCACTCCTGGCGGTGCTCAGGGGACCCTATGGGATGCTGGGGATCGAACCTGGGTCGGCTGCGTGCAAGGGAAACGCCCTCCCTGCTGTGCTATTGCTCCAGCCCTGTCACTCTCGGTTTTAATTTATTATTATTATTATTATTATTATTATTATTATTAAGGGGCTGGAGCGATAGCACAGCAGTAGGGCATTTGCCTTGCATGCGGCCAACTTGGCCGACCTGAGTTCGATTCCTCTATCCCTCTCAGAGCCTGGCAAGCTCCCAAGAGTATCTCACCCGCGTGGCAAAGCCTGGCAAGCTCCCCGCGACGTACTCGATATGCCAAACACAGTAACAACAAAGTCTCACAATGGAGACATTACTGGGCCCACTCAAGCAAATCTATAATAATAATAATAATTATTATTATTATTGTTTTTTGGGTCACACCCAGTGATGCTCTGGCTGACTCCTGACTCTGCACTCAGGAGTCACTCCTGGCGGTGCTCAGGGGACCCTATGGGATGCTGGGAATCGAACCCTAGTCAGCTGTGTGCCAGGTCAACGCCCTCCCCGCTGGGCTATTGCTCCAGCCCCTTATTAATTTTTTTCAATTAAATAACTGTGATTTACAAAGTGATTGATAGTTTTGTTTGAGTATATAATATTTCAATGCCAATCCCACCCCCAGTATCAACTTTCCTCCCCCCACCCCCCCGTGTCCCCATATTCCCTCCCCTCCCCCTCCCTGCACCATCCTGGCCTGTCAGGTTGACAGACACGTGACCAAGTTCAGTGGTGGCTGCTTCGATCTCATGTTTTCAGTGCTGTGGGGTCTGTGTTTGGGTCTGTGGCTACACCCCTCACCGTGTCATGGGTACAACTGAGGCCCTGACACCAGTTCACTCCTTACTTCCCATTCTCTTCCTCCCCGTTGACTTCTTTCCTTCTCTTTTTGTCTTTCTCTTCTCTAAAAACTGAGGTCCAGGGTGATCTAGACAAACCCCTTTAACTCAACACATTTCCTCATCCAGTATTCTGTCTACCACAGATAACTGAGACCATCCTGTGTTTTTTTTTCTCCTTCTGCCTCACTCCACTCAACACCATTCCAACAGCATTGCAGCAAATGGCGCGATTTCATCATTCTTTGGAGCTGCGTAGTATTCCATTGCATATACATGCCACATCGTCACAATCCGTTCCTCTGTCCTTGGACACCGAGGTTGATTCGTATCTTAGCTATTGTACTGAGCGCATCGATGAGTACTGGCCTGACATCCTTTTGAGAGAGGGTTTTAATGGCCTGGGGGTAGATGCCTCAAGGTGGAATTTCTGGGTCC